TTTTTTTTTTAAGAGCAAAATTCCTTTTGTTATACTATCAAGACAACTCTAGTCCAGCACATTGCCACTCTTCTAGCCTGCTAAAATGTATGTTAAATGATAGAAATTTATATGAACTTTGTGTAACATTTTGAAAGCATATGCCATATACCACTTATTTTCTATTTCTATAACTGTGTAATAATGAATTGTTAAACACAGAATCAAATGTTTAAGCAAATATATAGCCAAGAATTGCTTATATAGTAAGAGTATTAATGATATTATGAATTGTTTAGATTCAGATGATTTCTTATTTTAGTTTTCTTATTCTTTGAATTTAAAAAACCCATAAATTAATATTTCTTATACTGAATCATTTTCACCATCATATTGGAGTATAATATTATGTATCTAAAGTACAGAGTAACTGAGCCATTTTGATGTCTGTATAATAATAAAAAGAAATGTACTTTTTTGTAGGAATACATTAGAAATAACAAAACTTTTTAAGCACTATCCCAGTCTTAATCTCAAAATTGTTTTCTTCAAAAGATTGTTTTTCAAGGCTTTATTACATTTGCAACACATACAGAGATAGAGTACCCATTAAGTGCCAAGCGCTTGTTACAGGAGGTGAATACAATGATGACAGACCACACTGTTGAGAAGCTTGGAGTCTAGGAGACAAATGAGTCACCAGTAGGGTTACAGTAGAGTGTGGTGAGTGCTCTCATAAATTGTGAACAGAGATCTGTTGCTTAGGAATCTTTAGTTTGATTTTGTATTTTTAATCCATTTTGGGTTAAAATTTTCATTGGACCTAAGTATGCACAAAAGAAAAACATTTACTGTCTTTATATATTTGACATTAAATCTGTAATACAGTAAGCATATTTTGGTATGCTAATTTCTCTGATTTTTCTAGACTAATTATACTAGACTGAATCTTATAAACTTGTTATTTTGAAGCGTAATGTAGGATCTGAAATTAAAGAAACATTTACATAGTTAGGTATGTAAAGAGATTCTGTTTGTTTGTATTTAGAATATGTTGATTTTTATATATGGACGTTATCTGTAATACTTTCATAAATGTTTTTAACCCCCAAAGTTTAAATTTGAAGATTACAGTGAGTAAAATTCTATTTTTATCTGCTCTTAAAGTTGAAATATATAAATTGTTGTATAGCATTAGTTCTCATCTTAAACCACAAACTGAAATTCAGCTTTGCCAAGGCTGTGCTCTGTTTTACCTCCTAAATATACTAAAAGGTATTTTCTGTTAAATAAAATGAATAAGAAAATCCTACCAGTATGCTTTTCTTTTTCAAGAATTCATAAAGTACCTTTTGTTCAGCTTATTGCAGCCTTGAAATCCCTTTTGTTTCTCACGTATTATAATTAATTTTTCTCAATTTAATCTTTGTTTCCAAATTTTTAGTGTTTTGACTTTTCCATGGGTGTTGTTTTTTTTTTAATGTGTATATTAAATTTAACAATCTGTCTATGGCTTCAAGATTTTGCATCATGCTTAGAATGACATATTTTTGTGAAAATTACTCTAATGTTTCTTTTAGCAATTTTATTGTTTTAATGGTGAGGAGGGTGCACATGAATTTTTAAAAAATACATCTGGAATTTATTTAAGGGTAAATAATGACATAGAGATTTCATCTCCCTCCCTCTCGGTGGATACCCAGTTGTACCAATATCATTTATTGAATGATTCTGTTCCTATGGTTTTGAGATTCATCTTTTATCTCTTCCTTATTTTCTCTATCTGTACCATTGACTTGTCTGTCCCTGTCCCTGTGAGCTTATTTTCTGGTGGGAGAAAGACTAACAATAAACAATTAAGAAAATGATAAGTAAAAGTAAATTCTATAATGAAAAAATTCAGAATGACTTGGTAGCCAGTGACTAGAGAGTTACTTAAAATGAGTGGTGAAGGCAGGCCTTTCTGAGGAGGTGACATTTATGTGACCTGAATGTCAAGGACAGAGTGGCTGTGTAAAAATATGGTGAAAGAGGATTTCAGATGGAGGAAATGGCCTCAAGGAGGAGATGATCTTCAAGTGTTCCCAAGAGTAGAAAGAATAGTAGGAGTATAGTATATGGGGGAAGAGTGGTGAGAGGTAACAGCTGGAGAAGAGACGAGGAGAAGGCATGTATTATGCAGGGATTTGTAGGCTGAGCTGAGGAATTTGCATTTTATTTTAACTGTGAAGGGAAACTATTCAAGAGCAATGTTTAAAAATTCAAATGGTCTAGAATGAATTTTTCTTATTTTTATCCTGCAAACAAAAGGATATATAGGCGATTAGATAATTTGTGAATCAAATAAACAGGTTCTTATGCAATTAGGAGCTATTTTTGTGTACATGGACTCTGTAACGAACTTGTTTCCCTTTTAAATAATTTTACAGTTAAAGAAGCGTTTTTAAAATTACGTAAGTACCAAGAGTTTAGAACTCAAAGGATAAAGGATCTACTTGGACTAAATAGAACTCTTTAAAGAACAATTTTGTGATGTGTTTCAAAATAATATTTTTTCTCTCTCAAAATGTTTGTATAGGGAACAGACATCCTTGGAAGAGGGAGAAATTCCTTGGCTACAGTACAGTGAAGTCAATGAAAGCAGCAGCGATGAGGGAAATGAGCCCGCCAATGAATTTGCACAGCCTGAAGCTTTCATGTTGGACGGTAACAATAACCTTGAGGATGACTCCAGTGTGAGTGAGGACTTAGATGTGGACTGGAGGTGTGTAGCAGTGTTGTTACCATGCTTAAGTGTTCACTGAGTAGAATTGGTTTTTGATTCTAAACTATGAAAACTGAATCTCCTGATAGCTTAGAAGTATTCTGTTTTTCCCACCTGTCAATCTTCCTCCCCTTCAAAGCTCGTTTCAGATGTCATTTCCTACATGAACTCTTTCCTAATACTTATTCCAGTCAGTGACCTCTTCCTTCATGACCTTTCCTCTCTTGAAGCTCACCTTATAGCCTAGTGAATTACACACTCATGGATTGAGGTTTCTGACTGTTAAATTTAGCTTTATATGTTAAATGTAGCACTTAGTATAATCCTTTAAAAAAAAATAATAAGTCCTGAATCCTATGTGAGGAATTCAAAACCTGTGATTGAATCAAAAGAATCATAAGAATATAGTTTTCCTTCTATATATATTTTATATGCAAAATATAGAAAATATAATTGTACTTTCACAGAGATGTTGAAAGTATTAAATTTATACTGACAAAGAATAACTTCAAATAAAAGTAGCATATAAATTAAGTGGATTATACAATTGTTAGGTCTTGTGATATAATGGTTAGAATTTCTTAAGCTGGATTTGTCTGATGTCATTAGATTCGAGTTACAAATTTTTAGCAGGAGCATCATATTAATAGAAGCTGTGTTTTGTTCATCTCAGTTCATATCAGAAGGCACATGATGTCGAATTATCCCATTACTGGTGATGTTAATTCTGATCACTTGGTTAAGGTACTGTCTTTCAGATTGCTTCACTGTACAGTTGCCACTTTTCCCTTTATAATTAATAGGTGTCGTGTGGAAAGATACTCTGAGACTATATAAATAGCCTGTTTCGCCTCAAACTATCAAACTTCCATCCACTAGTTTTAGCATCATTAGAGATTCTTGTTATTACCATGGTGATTGCCAAATGATGATACCAGAATTTTTAATATTAACTGATTATTCTGCAGTGAACAAATTGTAGCCAGATAACATGCCTTAAGTGTCTAGATTTGTTTAGCCTGGAGAAGAAAAGAATTATTGGGAGGTAGTTGACTAACCATTTGAAGGAGTTTTCTGCCAAGGGGAATTGGGCATAGTTGTGTTGCGATAGCAGGCAGAACTAGAGCACTTAACTGCACATAAGTTTCAGACCACTGGCATGTACCTCCTTAGAAAGCAGTGCGTTTTCCAGGGAGGGAATGGGTCTGCTGTTCCTTGAACGCCTACTCTGGTGCCATCTCTGTGCTAGGCACAGGAGTGCATCTACTGTTTTAATTTATTGTATAGGTGAGGAAACAGAATAACAGTTAAATTTTTCACATTGTTCAACTATGATTTAGTTAAATGTGAAGTTAAATTCCTGTCTGACTGACTCCTGGGCTCCTCCTCTTTGCACTACATCTCACTGCTAGACGAAGGAGGCCTAGTATTGCACGGGAGTTTGGATTCACTAATTCTGGCTTTTATTCTAAGAACTGTGATTGTATGAGAATGTCTGTTCCTTTGTACCATATGATATCTGCTGATTTCTAGATACTACTAAACTATAGTATAGTCTTCATAAGAATACTTCTGTTTCTCTTGGCAATAGAATTGTAATTTTAATGATGGCACAAAGGTTGACATCAAAACGATTGTGAGCTAGCTTGT